ACAAATGTTCAAAAAAACAGAAGGGGATCAAATATTTCTTTCCCACACTGTATATACATACAATTTTTTTTTTTGTCACCATGTCAAAATATACTATTTTTTCATCTCCTTGCCAAGCATAATCAGGAAACAATACACATTAGTAGCATAAGCTAAGTTGTGGCTGGGGGGCAGGGCCTGACAGCTGACCGAGACTGACGCACATGGCTGAAGCTCCTCAGGCAAAACACCCAATTAACTTGTTAAACTATTTTGGGCTTCAATCCTGACCTTATGCTTGAGAACTACACTATTGAGTGTTTAGCCTGCATCCGACTACACTCAGTGGGCACAGATTGTGTTCAACATCTCTGCAGCCTGCAAGTATCCCTGAGGCTGGGGAGGTGGCCGATCCTCTACCCTGGCTTGTTGCTAGCAAGTCACTGGGCCCTGTCCCCTCCCCTTTAGAGGGGGATATCCCGGTCTCCACTGGTAAATCTGTGGCTTACTTGAAGAGTCTTCTGCAGTCTTTAGTGGAGTCCTTGGTGCATCAAATAAACAATGCATACATCTTAAAATGACAGACTTATTGCTCCAACTGCCAACGCACAACTGGCCTCCTTAGTGGATTCACTCCTCCAAGCTTTCGACCACCTGTGCACAGAGGTCTGGACTAACGTGCATAATCGTGAAATTGCTACAGCACCTGTGTCCCTCGGCTGGGCTTCCCAGACATAGCCTCCAGCTTGACGTGGGACAGAGCAGCTTCTGAACGTTGTCTGCTCGATATGCGGACGATGAATCATGTTTGGAAGCCGCAGCTGACACTTCGCCATAGTAGACCCACTGCCAGATCTCGCCTTTGTTCGCTTAGGCTGTGAGTCCCACAAGTCCTATACCCCACATACAGCTCGCCTACTAGGAGAGTCCTCGCTCAACACTGCTGGTGGCAAAAGCACGGGAAACATTGGCATTAGACCCGGATGATGGATGAAACTGGTTTTCATGGAAATATCTGGCCAGTAGGATATAAAGCACGGTGCTGGTGGGGTGACCTCCTGAGAAAGGCTGGACTCAGTGTACTGTAGGTTCTACAAACCATAGTCTTCCAAGTATGCACTAAAATACTTATTTTATTGCTTTGATTACATAGGGCACCTGGCATTATGCGTATTTGCCAACTAGTAGTATTTTTGTAGTCTTGCAACCCAGTTCTCACTGCGTCAGTTAACACTGAGCGACCTGTTATTCTCCGTTGCCTACTGACATTTTTAGTATCTAGCCCTGTGACTAAGCATGCCATTGTTTTAATTTCCTGTAAATTGTTTATTTTGTACATGACTAAACTACCTGCTCAGTGACTTACTCTTGTGTGCCTAGCTTGTTTTCTTTCGTTTTTAACAATGAGGCTTCAACTAGATGATTATTACCTTATTACCATAAAAATGTGGCAATATTTTTCTATATAAGTAACATATTGTCAAGGGTGTTGTGAAATCACAAGATTGTCAATGGTATCTTCTTTGCACAATATACATAAAAAATGGCTAGTCATGCGTGGTTATTGTTAAGAGGGAGAGCCACCCAGTAGTGATACCCTTTATGTTTATGTCGATAATCTGACTTAATATTTTGAACACTCTGTTCCAGAATGCACAAATCCTTCACAAGTCCACCACATATAGAGATATATTCTGATTTGTCCACAACCCCTATAACAAAGAGGTGAGAGTTCTGTTTTGTTGGATCCAGGTACCATCTCAATACCACTTTATATCCCTGTAACGGGACTGCAATATTAAGTCCCCAGATCTCCGCTGGTATAGAAGGTAATATCCCAAATCCCCCCAGTAACCAGACGAAACACCGTTCAGGGAGTCAACTGAACTTTATTCATGGCTCCAGGAATTAACTGCCAACTGTCAACTTTTTAAAAATGTTCTGCAATGCATTACACACACATACCCTTGGTTCTTAAAGTGGTACATACATATTGAACCGAACGGATACAGGCATTTAAACAGCAGGGAGAAGGTTTAACTCAGGGCCCACAGGCAAATACATGAAAAATCCTTCACAATAGCCCCCCTTTTTCTCCCTGCTCCGGCAACTCGGTTGGACCTTTCCTGGTCCAATAGGGTTGACGGGACTTTCCAAAGTTTTTAATCTGAGGCCAAGTCCGTTTGGCGCGACAGACCATCAGCATTCTCGTTTTGCTTGCCTGGGCGATAATGAATAGTAAAGTCATAGGGCTGTAACGCCAGGCTCCAGCGCAGCAAACGGGCGTTATCCGTTGGTGGTATAGTGGTGAGCATAGCTGCCTTCCAAGCAGTTGACCCGGGTTTCTCCGATACGTTAATGAGATGTCGTTGTACTAGCGTGATGGTTGCACCACTGTCTCTTAATCCCCGTGCTGTCTTGCCGTTAACCATGACCAGTTGGCAATGGTGTTTCCGATTGTCTGTGAAGGTGGATTGCACCATGAGGGCTTCGTAAAAGGTGCCCAATGGTTCTTCCTGACCCAGCTCCTTGGGATCCCAAGTCGAATCTACACAATGGGCTGCTGCTGGTGGTTGCTGGTACCCAGGTCGAGACCAATTTGACCTGGTGTGGTTGTTCATGGGGCAATTCTGTCGGATGTGACCCAGCTGTCGGCACCGGAAGCAACGTAGCTCGCTGACATCCTGTCGTGGGTAGCGAGAGTTAGAAGTCACCGGTCGGTTAGGGGGTTGGTATCGGGCTGCTGGTGGGTGTGATGGCACTGAAGGTTTTGGAGGTTGTACCCGTGGTGCAACTTGGTTAATTTTGCGAGTATCCGCATACTCATCCGCCAACTTGGCGGCCTCTGGTAGAGACAGGGGCCTGCGGTCTCTCACCCAGTCTTTGACATCCGCCTGGATATGGTTGTAAAACTGTTCCAGGAGTATCAGTTGCAAAATCTCCTCCGCGGTGGCGGCCTGGCTACTGTTAACCCAGTTCGAGGCCGACAGGGATAACTGGCAGGCCCATTCCACGTAGGAATCTTTAGCGGTTTTGCGTGAGTCCCTGAACTTCTGTCGGTAGGACTCTGGGGTTACTGCATAACGGGCCAGGAGTGCTTCTTTAACCCTGGCGTAGCTGTGGATCTCCTGTTCTGGTACAGCCCGGAAAGCATCAGAGGCTTTGCCTGACAGCTTTCCTGACAATATTGAAACCCATTCTTCCTTAGCTATCCGGTGCAGGTTACATTGCCGCTCAAAATCTGCTAAATAGTTATCAATCTCACAGTCTTTTTCGTCAAAAGCTTTAAAAGCGCTGAACGGAATTTTCCTTGTATCCGCTGTGTTGTACTCACTGTTTGGGGAGTGTGCTGCTGCCTGCTGGACCGCTGCCAGTTTTAATTGTAGCTCTGCGTCTCTTTTTTGTTTAGCCTCCTCCGCTAAAAGGCTCATTACTTTCAGAATAATGTCAGCCGTTGGGTTCGGACTGAACCATGCTAGTTTCTCCCTCATTTCTTTGTTGGCTGGTGATTCCTCCTCCTGAATCACTGGTGTCTCCATCTCTTGTACAGCTGGCATTGCTGCAACCAAGTTCTCTCGGTCTAGCTCCATTAACTCTGCTATGATGACCTGCTTGGTTTTGTTGCTAGCAATCCTTCCACGAGCTTCCAGTAGCTCTTTCAGTGTATTTCTTTTAAGCAGGGTGTACCAGCCTTCCATTCACTGTTCCCAGTGTCTGCTTGGAATCCTGGTGTAACAGAAGTAGAAGGGAAAATCCCACCGCTGCCACCAGTTGTAACGGGACTGCAATATTAAGTCCCCAGATCTCCGCTGGTATAGAAGGTAATATCCCAAATCCCCCCAGTAACCAGACGAAACACCGTTCAGGGAGTCAACTGAACTTTATTCACGGCTCCAGGAATTAACTGCCAACTGTCAACTTTTTAAAAATGTTCTGCAATGCATTACACACACATACCCTTGGTTCTTAAAGTGGTACATACATATTGAACCGAACCGATACAGGCATTTAAACAGCAGGGAGAAGGTTTAACTCAGGGCCTACAGGCAAATACATGAAAAATCCTTCACAATCCCTTTTCAACTATTGTTGTACATATAGACAATTTATGTGTCTAGCCATTTTGTAAATTGGCTTAAATCATTAGATGGCCCCTTTAGCCAATGAGCAGATCCCCTGTCTGAGGCTATCTGATTGAGTCTTGAACAAAAGCAGATGTCTAAATTGATCAGTTTAATTGGTACGGTTCTGAAAAATGAATAATCATCTTTTTTTTTTTTAATGGAATGGACCTTGCCCAGAAGAGATATTCTGTAAGAACACCATCTACACTGAAGTTCATGCAGCTTTTTTAAGAGAGGTCTTTAGTTGTGTACGTATAATTCTTCTTGGCGTGTCATTATCCTAACACCCAGGTAGGGTCATTTTATTGTATTTGGTTTAAAGTTGAAGTTGTCTGACAATCTTAAATAGTCATTAAAAAACATATATACGTCATTCAAAGAAAGACCTTCACACTTATGAATGTTGAGTTTATACTTTAAAACTGATCCAAACCTTGAAAGTAAATTGTATAAAACAGGCAGAGATGTTAACGGCATGATAATTGATAAGAGACCATAATAACTTAACAAACTGATTTTGTAGTTTGTTTTGCCACAAACTCTGCTACTAATGTCTGAGCATGCATGTATTTATGCTGCTAATAGCATTTACAAATTTGTACGATGCCTGTCAAATATGTTAATAGCTACTGTAACGGAATCGCTGGCACCCCGACCGGGTACCTTCCGCTGACGGATGCTCCTCGTGCTTTCCGAGGTCTCCAAGCACTCCACCTGACACCATAACCACTGCAGACCCAACGAACCGCCGCAGCTTGGTTGGGGTCTCGCCGTCTCCACCCACTCTGGACCCAAGGCCAGGGTCCAGCTTCCAGTAGGTTGACCTCTCCGAATTCCAGAGAGCAGGAACAGGAACAAGCTCTTAGCAGAGCTTAGTGATTATACCCTGGGGAGTAAAGTGATTATAGCAATCCCCAGAGTGTAGTTCTCCAATCCCCCAAACATGAGCCAAAACTTCATGAAGGTACAAGATGATCTGCTTTAATCAACACCAAAGGGCTTTCTTTTATGCAAGTTTTTACACACAGTTACCACCCACGTGGTTTTGTGGAACAGCCAATCAAACACATAATAATACAGTCAGACACTCCCAGTTAGGACACACAAAATCTCCCCTCTGCCTGTGAGGGGGTACACAATGGGTTGACTTAATTATTCCAGGCAGGAAAATACACAGTTTCATATTATTATTATTATTATTGCCATTTATATAGCGCCAACAGATTCCGTAGCGCTATACAATATTTTGAGAGGGGGGATGGAACAATAAATAGGACAATTACAAGAAACCTTACAGGAACAATAGGTTGAAGAGGACCCTGCTCAAACGAGCTTACAGACTATAGGAGGTGGGGTATTAGAAACATTAGGACAAGAAATATCAAGTAGGAGTGAAGCAGAGCTGGAGGAGAGAGCAAAGCACTGTCCCATAGGAGAGAGCAGGAGACAGGTATGTAAGGTAGAGATTACTCTGGGAGGCCATAAGCTTTCCTGAAGAGATGGGTTTTAAGGCCCTTCTTAAATGATTGAAGACTAGGGGAGAGTCTGATGGCAGTAGGCAAGCTATTCCATAGGAGAGGAGCCGCCCGCGAGACATACAATATTAATACATCCTAAAATATTCATACAATCTCCATAAAAATTTTCTCCACATATTTTGAATCAGCATACTCCAAATACAAACATAACAAAAAATCAGACAATTCCCTCCAGTGGTTAGAAAATTAGGTGGAAGTCCTTATTGACCGACCGCAAGCATGGCTTTCCTGCTCAAAAGAGTTCCATAGATTTGGGCTGTGCGGTCGATCCATTTTACACTGAAAAATAACTAAGTCCCATTCGAATGCACGAACGGGGTACCATTCGTGCAAATAGCCCAGTCTAACTGTGCGTTCGAATTGTTGAATGCGCTTCAATTTCAGCCAAAGCGTCGAAGTGGAGCTGAAGGTAAGGGTTAGCGGTGTTCGTGCCGTTTTGTAGCCGTTTTCAGTTCCATGAATTTGGCAGCACACACCGCTGACAAAGATGGCCACTGCCACGTGTTCGACTGTACGAACGGCAGCCACCTAGTGGTCGGCGATTAACCTGTGGTTAATCACCAGCCTTGGAGGTAAATTGCCTGCACACTTCCACTTGTGTGTGGTCCGCCTGTTCGGTAATTGGCTCGGTAAACCCCAATTACCGAACCATATAAGAAACAGACACAAACAAAATATTTTAATGGTCTGGGGACACAGTTTTAAAAGGCCATTGTTCTCAAAAGTTGCAATATGCCCATATACAGTTTTTAAAGGGCCCTACACCCCAGGGCCATAGTCATGAGACAGGAAGAGGCTGGCAATCAGGCTCCTCCAAAAGCCAGGGGCAAAGGGCAGTTGGTCACATAAAAACCCAGTGACAAAAGACAGTTTGTCACAGCTACTATTTGTATAAACAGTTAACACAATTATTTTTTAACAATTGTAAATTGGTGAATAAAAGTTGGTGTTAAGTGGCAGTGTGACATTGCACCGGCTATAAACAATATTGTCACTCTAGGATGAATGAAGCTGGCAATCTACCACTCAAAGTGTGAGTACCACACTTTGAGCAAGGCAAAAGGAACTTGTTTCTTCCTTTTTGCTTTTTCACTGAACAATCACTTTGCTCACAAAATATTTTTTTATTTCTACAAGCAAATTTTTTTTTTTTTTTAAACTAACATAGTAATGACTTTCACACTAGGATTAATGGCACAATGGCGATCACCCATTCAAAGTTGTTTTAAGTGTCACTGACTGCCAGCTAAGTAGGTAGGTATACACTTACAGTAGTAACTTAACAATACCAGGTCATTTACTAAGTTAAGAATTCAAAGTGTATTTAAAATGGGCTTCAAATTTGGGGACAGAGTAGCCAAACTGAGCATTTGTTTTTCCATTTTGGCTATTTTGACCTTGAACTTGAAACTCAATTTAATTTCTCACATTAGTGAATAAGCCTGCCAGTCTGACACTAGGATCAATGACAGTATTTACATCTCAAAGTTATTTGGCAGTAGCTCGCTAGTCAGATACAGCATTTCATTAAAGCTAGTCTCACATTAGAATCAATGACCCAAACTATATCAATCCCACACAGGCACAGCAAAAGTAAAACACACAGTTTCTCTGTTGGTCTGTCTCCCTCAGCAGCTAGTATCTGTAATAATTCGGTTTGGAAGTTGTCACTTGATCTACAAATGAAATCAACATTTACTGGCTGTCCCTTAACCATCAATCATCTTTTTTTTTTCTATCTCTTGATTGGACATCATGTACAGCCCTGATTGTACAGACCTTTTATGTATCGTGGCAAACTAAGTTGCTTTTTTGCCGCCACCAAAAATAGATTCTTTTTTTCTGGAACCAGGAATGGCAGTCCAAATTATTAATTGAAAAAGAACTGTCCCAATGGCCATTTATGACCAGCTAAGTAGCTTAATTTAGCCCATAACCACCCATTAGTTGAATAGAAAGGTGTGTCTGCATTCTGGGCATACCTTTTTCTATGTCCAGTATGCTTCTGGCCTGGTCCAAATCTGGGCCTCACCCTTATTCTGAATGGTTGAGGAGGCTGTATGCTTCTGCCAGTTTCATTAGTAAAGTTCCAGCATTCTTTAGTGTGTGTTGGAGGTTCAGTGATGAGCTTGGCTGAAGCACAGAGTGAAGAGAAGCAATCTTCATTGGGAGCTCGATCACGCTAAAGATGCTTTTTAATTGTTTGTGTCTGTGTGTAAGAGAGTAAGGATTTTTGAGTGTCTAATTGTGAGTATCAATTTGTTTGTATGTGTACACCTCTGGCAATACCGATCTGCACCCACCTTTAGAGATAAGTATGTTAGTGGCCTTTACATAAAGTAACTTTGAGACCCCTGCTCCACAATGTGTTCTAGTGAGCATCTATTGGACTTACTGATTCTTCACCCTCTGTGTCAATGAACATTGCCTTGTCACCCTTGCATTGCAGGCATTTGTCATACAGGCACTCTCTTCCCTTACTTGCATTTGTTTTTGTGCTCTTAATTCCCTTATTTAGGCTTTATTTAACAGTCTGAATATTTTGCTATCCTGATTTACCAGTGTCTTCAATAAAGTCTTAAACTTGGCTTGTATATACCTGATAACGTGTCATCATGACCACTCTCTAAGTTAACCAGTAAAGATATCCTCTTTACATCACTACTGTAGATGTGTTTTATTGCATAGATAGGTTTTATGTACATGTTCTGCTGGTAAATACAATACTATCATTTCCTACTGCAAAGATGTGTGAAAAGGCCTTTTATTTTTACCTCAATATCATAAGTATAATTTGCATATTCAAACAGAGATAAAGATTTTTTTACTTGACACAACTCAACTAAAAATATACAAAATGGAGGATGTCTGTTTCCAAAAATAAGAAGAAACAGCATATTTAACTTTTTGGCATTATTAAATTAAATTTTAGTTATTATTATTATTATACAATATATAAATTAACAGAACATGTAGTCAGTCCAACATAATAAATTAATCATATTAACTGTCAATGAACATATTTCAAAGAGGTGTGAAATAGGTTTTAAAAAAATTATTAATTGAAAATTCACATATAGACGCTGTTCTCAGTGTCCATGCCATTTGCTTGACCTGCAGTGATTGCATTGAAAATATCCATGACCTGCAGCAAAGAAAAAAACTTGATCAAACTAATTACAGTGGGCACCAAAATGTACATACTGGATAACAATGAAAAATGAATGAACTATATCAAAATGGTACAACTGATCAATATCATGGATCAATACTATCTTCACAGTAGGCCCCAGAAATATTTGACTGTGTGTTTACTGTAAATTCTCTCACGTATAGTACAAAAAGTTTTTAAGAACAGATTTAGAAGAACTTATAAAGCAAGTGTTTTTACAGTTTTGCCTTAAATAATGCATTAGTAGGGCAGTTATGGAAAGAAATACCACAAAATAATTAAACTGATTTCGAGAATGCTTCTTATTTCTACTATTGTTGTAGAAAGGGAATGGTGGCTTTGGACATGTGAAATAGGCTATTCCCCCTCCCAACACGTCATCCCTCTCATGATATCTATGAGTGATAGGGAGGTAATTTATCATATTGTGTAACTAAATCCCCTTTATTTTACTTAAAGGGGCACTATAGTCACTAAAACAACTTTAGCTTAAAGGGACACTATAGTCACCAGAACAACTACTGCTTATTGAATTTGTTCTGGTGAGTAGAATCATTACCTTCAGGCTTTTTGCTGTAAACACTGTCTTTTCAGAGAAAATGCAATGTTTACATTACAGCCTAGTGATAACTTCACTGGCCACTCCTCAGATGGCTGTTAGAGATCCTTCCTGGGTCATGGCTGCCTAAAATGCATCCAAACATTCAGTATCTCCTCCCTCTGCATGCAGACACTGAACTTTCCTCATAGAGAATCATTGATTCAATTCATCTCTATTAGGAGATGCTGATTGGCCAGGGCTGTGTTTGAATCATGTTGGCTCTGCCCCTGATCTGCCTCTTTGTCAGTCTCAGCCAATCCTATTGGGAAAGCATTGTGATTGGATCAGGCTACCACTTCTGATGATGTCAGCAGACTGCTTGTTTTTTTTTTGGTTTTTTTTAGGCAAACAGCATGAAGATCTACAGCTTCTGGCTTGAATACAGTAAGATGCTGCTATAGTTATGGCATGAGGGGCCCAGGGGGGCTAGATGGGGGTTTTAACACTATTGGGTCAGGAATACATGTTTGTGTTCCTGACCCTATAGTGATCCCTTAATGAAGCAGTTTTGGTGTATAGATCATCTCCCTGCAGCCTCACTGCATAATTCTCTGCTATTTAGAGTTAAATCACTTTGTTTATGCAACCCTAGTCACACCTCTGTGCATGTGACTTACACATTCTTCCTAAACACTTCCTGTAAAGTGTCATTGAATGTTTACACTTCCTTTATTGCAAATGATGTTTAATTTACTATTTCTGCTCTGTTAATAGCTTGCTAGACCCTGCATGAGCCTCCTGTAATTAAAGTTCAAATTACAAAGCAGGAGATACAAACTTTTAAAGTAAGTTACTGAACAATTCTAGCTCCTCTTATATCTCTTCACAGATCCATCTTGTTCCCTCTGCTCTGCCCGTGACCACCTCCTAACTGCTGCTCGCTTCTGTACGGCCAACTCACGCTTGCAGGACTTTTCGCGGGCGGCTCCTTTCCTATGGAATAGCCTGCCTACCCCCATCAGACTCTCCCCTAGTCTTCAATCCTTTAAGAAGTGCCTTAAAACCCATCTCTTTAGGAATGCTTATGGCGTCCCAGAGTAACATCTACCTTACATACTTGTCTCTTGCTCTCTCCTATAGGGCAGTGCTTTACTCTCTCCTCCAGCTCTGCTTCACTCCCACCCTATTTGATTGATATTTCCTGTCCTAATGTGTCTTATACCCCACCTCCTATAGACTGTAAGCTCATCTGAGCAGGGTCCTCTTCAACCTATAGTTCCTGTAAGTTTTCTTGTAATTGTCCTATTTATAGTTACATCCCCCCTCTCATAATATTCTAAAGCGCTACAGAATCTGTTGGCGCTATATAAATAATAATAATCTGACTGAAAATTAAACCATTTTCTTTTCATGCAGACTGTGTGAGTCACAGCCAGGGGAGGTGTGGCTAGGGCTGCATAAACAGAAACAAAAGTGAATTGAGCAGTGAGACTTCAGATGCATGATCTATACACAAAGCCTGCTTTATTAAGCTAAAGTTGTTTTGGTGCCTATAGTGTCCTTTTAAGACAGTTCTTTTATGAACTTGATAAGTATTAAAACCACTTGAATTACAATGGACAGAGTTCCTATTTTAGTTTCTGTATTGTATTAACTGTTTCCTTAAGCAGAGTTACTATGTATGCATCTTCAGGGTAGAGGTTTCTCTCACTCTCACAAAGGGCGGGGTAGTCCAAGAAGCAGAGTGAG